TCTGATCCAGCCAATCAGAGCATGAGCTCAACATCTAGATCACAATGACAGTCACGATCATGAAAGCATTACATACACAGGACCCATTTTAATTCTGCAGAATAGTATGACAAATATTGCGCGACAAAGGAGGGAAGGTTGTAATCCATTAACTACCCAAGTGACCCTAGCCATGTCTTTTCACTCTTCTGTGCTTTAATTTCCTTGCATATAAAATGAGGAGCTTAGTATACCTGTAACCAGCCTGTGCTAGGGACCTTTCCTCCCTAAAGCTGGAACCTAATTGAAATTTAGAAATCCAGTCAAACCATGTCCTTGCTGGGCACTGACAGACTCACAGGTGCTAAGCCAGGGGGAAATAATGATCTTTGTCTCAGTGCACCTGAAGTAGATATTTCTGAAGTAGACAGTTTCTCTACCTCGATGGGTTTAAAGTCTTTTCCTTATCTCTTTTTTCCAACTGTCAAAACCTGTCAAATAATAATGCATGCCAAAACTTAATAAATAATTAATATGAAAACAAATCTCTGCTAATACTGATTTGTTCCCTCCCTCCCTTTCTTCCTCCCTCCCTTCCTCCCTCCCTTCCTTCCTACCTCCATCCCTCCCTCCTTCCCTCCCTCCCTCTTTCCCTTTCTTCTTTCCTGGACCAGAGGTGTATTTGACAGAGATCTTCTGCATCCGACGTAGAAGGAAATAATGTTCCATTTGTTTTTTTACAATGTTGCGTTGATTTTCATATTTCCAGAGCATTTCAGAATTCAAAGTGTAGTGACTGAACAGGTAGATGGCAGTACTGTTACAGGTGGGAGTGATTTTGAAGAGCCTCCTTCCTGGGATCACACTATGTATGAGGTCAGTCCTGGCTATAGATCTGTTTAGCCACTTCAACTAGAACAAGACGGTGGCGTCTGTATCATCAACCAGCTCTATTAATTGTACAGCTGACACTGTGGTGACTGATTGATCTAATTTGTCCTGCTGGTTTAGCCACTTGTACTGAAGGACTCTAGGTCTGACGTCAATGCCACTGAAAAGCCTTGGGTCTTCACAACAATATTAACCTTTCTACCTCACCCTGAAACCTCACTAGACAGGAGAAATTCCAAAGCCTGCTAGAGCTACCATCCATCCAGGTTGGACAAGGAAGATGGAGGGGAGGCATTTAGAAAACATGCTCCTTGTTTATTTATTTACTTTATTGTTGTGCTGGGTAGGGGAATTTGTGGCATTTACAAAGGTTCTTACAATATATTAAATATATCATACTTGAATTCACCCCCTCCACCATTCTCCTTTATCAACAGCTATCATTTTTCCATTTACATACATGTGTACACATTATTTGCACTATATTCACCCTCCCTGGTCCTCATTTAAACATGGCCTTCAGATAGAAATTCTGGGATGTGGGGAGGAATGGACTTACCCCAGTGCATTTCTTTCTTGGCTGCAACTGGAGTTAAGTTCCCTGATGGCTGGTACGGATTCCTAGAACTACTAGGGATGGAGGGGTTAGAAATACTAGTCTTCAGCAGCCTCACCACCCTTGCTTTTGGTACAGCTGTGTCATGAAGGAGTGGTCATTGCATTGGGGGAGTGGAGAGGTGGGCATGTGCAGAAATAAGTAATTGTCCAAGACTCTATAATATTTCCAAGAGAGGGGCATGACCCAAGAAGGTAATGTAGAGGACTTGTCAAAATTCAGAGGATTAGTAGGAAAATAATCCTCTGCAGGAATGAGAATGAGAACTGCCAAAGACAATCCCACTACCCTTTTGCCTCAGTCAGATATATCAGCGAGCAGTAAACCAATTAATTACTCAAGGGTCAACCCTATTGGGTTGATTCTTTCCATTTGGAGGAGGGGAAGTGGGAGAGCTAGGGTGACACAGACACACACAATGACTTCATTGGCCCCTACCCTATCTAGCCATCTGTTGAGTGCTTTCCTCTTCTGGTGGTATGGAGTGATCCTTGGGCTTAAAACCAATGAGAATGAATTGAAAACTGAAAGTATCCAGAGGAACTAGTCAGATGAAATAGGTTCTCTTGTGTCACTTCTAGTTCAGGTATATTTGATTGTCCTTTTTTTTTTTAAGTTAAAGCCACATTTTAACAAATGAGCGGTTAGCAACATAGAATCAGCAAGTCACCATAAACTCCTTGTAATTTCCCTGATATTTCTGCAATGTCCTTCTACTACAGATTGTTGCAACTTATTATAATAATGGTGGCCCTATGTCCTGGAATACATGTGCTAATCCTGCTTAGAAACTTGAAAAGAAAGGTTAAAAAATGTGTCTTCTGTCTTCTTAGTGTCCAGCATTGTTCTCAAACCAAACTTTTATCAATTTGTCTTGGTGTTTATTAATTTTACATTTTAATTTGCACAAATGCAGTGGTTTTTATGACTGGTTCGATATGTGTTCCTAGGGCCTAGAGGATACTAGGCTTCCAGTAATTTCATATGGAATAAGTGAGTGAGTGACTGAATGCCTGAATTGTACAAGTAAGTGGTACTTTTGCATCTGCAGATTAAAAAAAACTAAGCTAAATTTATACCTTAAATTTAGAGGTTTTGTGTCAATCTTCATGACCCAGAAGGAGGAGAACTCCTCAAGTGACAGTATTTGATACTTTGTAGAGTTTTGTTTTGGTTTGGTTTTGTTTGTTTTTTTTTTTTTTTTTTGCTACTGGAGTTTGAACTCAGGGCCTACACCTTAAGCCACTCCACCAGCCCTTTTTTCTGATGGATTTTTTTAAGCTAGAGTCTCGAAAACTATTTGCTCAGGCTGGCCTTGAACTGTGATCTTCCTGATCTCTGCCTCCTGAGTAGCAAGGGTTATATGCGTCAGCCACCAGCACTTGGCTAGAGTTTTTTTTTTTTTTTAATGCTAGTTTTGTGAAGTGAAAGGATATCTACGGAAACACTTCCAAAATATTGAAAGTTATATACATGTGCTAATACAATTTTTACATTTTTGTGATTAATAATCTTATGTTTGTTGTTTTTTATTTACAAACTTTGCGACTGAAGGTACTAATGAAGGTGCCAATGACATTTTTGAGTTTGTATTATATACATGACACTTCTGCAAATGTCCGGAAGCCTAGTGTTTCCTAAAGAGGGAGTAGATCCGCTGGGCAGGTATGGTAGTGCATTGCTATACTCCTAGGTACTGAGTCAGGAGGATTTTCAGTTCGAGGCTAGCCTGAACTCAAAATTAAGACCCTGTTTCCAAAAATAAAAATAAACAAATAGATCAGCCAGTGCAGTAATGTGAAGGGAGCCTTCCATTCTTGAGAGTTCTCAAGGTGGGCAGGGATCAGGCACAGTGACGGCCTTGTTGGAATGGCATTGTTCTTTTCAGTCCTTTGAAAGAATTGTGCCATACAGTCAGGGCTACTGAGTAAAACTGTTGAACCTCACACGTCTTAAGACCATAATAAAATACCTGAGCCTAGGTAATTTGTAAAGAAGAGAATGTATTTGTCACAATTCTCAAGGCTGATCAGACAGACGTGAACTTGTCGCCCACACCTGGTAACCTGGGTCTTCCTGTGTCCTCACATGACAGCTGGAGAGCAAACTAGCCTGCTGGGTGAAACCTCTTATCTCATTCATGAAGATGGAGCCTCTATGGCTTGATCAGATCTTAAAGGTCTAGCCTCAATACAATCACTTTGGCAATAGGTAGTCTTGGAGGGGATTTAAGATACAGGAACAGAATGTTTCCTATGAGTGGTTTGCTCATTTGGAAAGAGGGAAAGTTGCTAGCATTGTCCAATGTCTTGGGCAAAGCAGTGGTAAACTCCCACGATCTAGGAAGAGGAGCCTGTTTTTGCTAACCTGCTCTCCCTGCCCCCATCTCCTGCGTGAGTGAGCCAAAAGTCATCAGATATGCAGGCTGTGCCCACAGGGGACTCCATGTATGCCTGTATGGCAGGAAAGTAAACCTGTTTAGGGATTAAAGCTGCCTGGTTTATGTGTCCCTGGTTTCACTTAAAAGATTTAATCCATCCATTAAGTGTGGGTAAATTTCTGCATCCTGCCATGCCGGGTCCTCCTCAGATCTCCCGAATCCTGATATAGGAACAGCTCTAGTGTGAATTAGTTGGTATAAGCTTTTGGGCGGCTTCCAACTTCGCTATTGCCTGTGCCCTACAGGTCAAGGAAAGAAGTGATGTAATGCACTTAGCTGGGCCACTCTATTACAATGGAATGGAGAGGGGGAGGGGTCACAGGCGGTGACAAGTTTAGCGCATGACTTGTCTTAGGGATGCAGGAAACGAAAACATCGCCAACCATTGGCTGCGTCCACTTCACCACCCGGGCATCTAGCTGCAGGTCTGGAACCTTGAAACACTCGTTTCCTGGGAAGAGGGGTGGCGCTGTCCCACGGAGCGTCAATCTTGAACACACAATCAGCTGGCAGCGGCCTCCCTCCCGGGGTGGGCGTGGGGCCCAGCGCTCGGCACAAGGTCCCCAAAAGGCTCCAGCTGCAGGGGTCTACCGAAGACCAGCGTCCGCGGAAACTGGGGTCACCCGGGCTCGCTGCGAGTGAGCCGCGCTGTCGTCATTCATTCGCAGTGTCCCGAGCGTCCTTCCAGCGAGGGAGCGAGTGGCCCCGACGCGGAGTGGGGACCCCGGAGCTCCCCGGCATCGCGCCCCAGCCCAGCCCGGTCGTGATCGCGGGGCCGATCGCGCGCAGCCCTGCGGGATCCGGGGACCGAGTCGCCGCACGTCCTCCTCCTCCTCCTCCTCCTCCTCCTCCTCCTCCCGCTCCTCCGGCCGCCGTGGGCCGGAGCCCGGCTGCGGGGCGGCGGGCCTGGGCGTCTGCGGCGCCGCGGGGAGGATGGTGCTCGCCGCGCCGGCGTCCCCGTCACCCTCGCCGGACGCCCGCTGGGGCTCGATGGTGGCCGGGGCGCCGAGGGCCGCCGCCTGCTGAAGTGGCCGGTGGCCGCCGCTCGTAGCGGGCGGGCGGGTGGCCGGAGCGCGCGCGCCTGGGCGCGGCGACTGCACGACCCGGGCCGCGGTCTCTTTGTGCGTCCGCCCGCGACAGCCGGGACCATGTGGGTGAACCCCGAGGAGGTGCTGCTGGCCAACGCGTTGTGGGTCACCGAGAGGGCCAACCCCTACTTCATCCTGCAGCGGAGGAAGGGACACGCCGGCGACGGAGGCGGCGGGGGCGGCCTGGCGGGTAAGGACCCCCGGCCCGGCCCGCGGGAGGGACCGCGAGCACCCGGGCCCCGCCCGGTCCCCCGGGGCGTCGGGAATCGTGATTTTCAGACTGGGCGACAGACCTTTTCTGACCCTGTCTGGCTGTGGGCGGACTGGGCGCCCCCTAAGTGGGCGATGTTGGTAAGAGTGGTGACCAGTGACTTGGGGCGGGGACCTGCTGTCCCTTATGAATCGAACGCGGTATTGCGTCCTCTCCTCCCGTTAGAAATGCTGCTTTATATATGGAGAAGGGAGATGGAGGATGGTTTTTGCTTCGCTGCCTTTATTGGCAACAACTCTTTTGTTCCCAGGGAAGCAGTCGGTAAGGAGCCGATGTGGTCATTTCCGATATTAGTTATGACCTCAGAGAATGAATAAGGAAAAAAAGGAATTCTTTTGTTGCACCCAGTTAGACATCAGACAAAGCAAGTTATCTGGCTCCGGTTGTTAGAAGAATTGCATTTTTATGGCTCTATTTTATAAATAGTCAACTCGGTTACTTCTTAAACCCTTTCACAAAGTGTTAGCAATGTTCACTGTGACTGAAGCCATGGCATATCGGTTAGGATTGGAAGATCAATCAGACCCATAGCACAGGTACCGCCGTATCAGGCCTTCCGTTTTTAACTGACTAGTTGGCTTGGTGGAAGGTTACACACAATCTTGAATTTCTGCCTTACTGGAGAAATTGAACCTTCCCCCCCCCCCCCCCCCCCCCCCCCCCGCCCCGGTTAGTTCAGACGGTCTGAGTGGAGTACTTTTTATACTGAAAAGTTAGAAGAAATAGGAACTTAACCAGGGAAGACTGCAGAAAAGAGATGACCTCTGACCTCTGCAGAGTTGAGACTATGAATTCTGTCACCCTCCAGGACATTGCATGCTAGGGAATTGCCTTCATAATGCCAGGCTATGAAATGAAAATTCTTGGTATGGTATGTATTTCATTGTGGTGACATTTATAAACTCGTTTTCTCAAGGTTAAAATCCTAGCGTTATGAGGCAGAGCATGTTTGAAAGGTTTTGCTGGTGCCTCAGAAGGCCTGTAGGTAATCTGATTTTTTTTTCACTTTTCTACCATAAGAGGGCAAGTCCACAGAGAATTTTCCAGTTCCTTTTGTAGAAGTTATCTAGGTATAAATTTGATGTGTAACTTGTGTTTCTAATATTAGTCCAACCTAGATTACCCTCCTTTAAACCTTGTACAATGGCAGTGATAGTTTATCCCTTTAACAAACATGTCCTGCTGGAGTTAACTCCTACACCACTACTCTCTACCTAGGTCATTTGCAATAGATGTGAAAAACTCAGGGGTGCAGAGCCTCTTTCTACTCCATATTTATGTCATGTTCCTGTGGATACTTAGAGCTCTAAATGACTGGAGCCACCGGGCATTCCTTGTTGCCCACTTAACATATCGATGACTTATTTCAGATGGGTAAAATTATATCTTTTGAGAACTCACAGCTATTGCAGCTATTTTTTCTGGAACAATTGAAATTGTCTTCAGGAGTACAGATATTCCTGCCAACAAAAGCTATTTTCAACCAACAGAGGTAAAATATTTGGTGTAACAGATTGGTACTGTGTCAAGTGTAACAGGAATGTTTTAGAAAGCCTTGTACTAAGTACAGTATATTCTAGTTCTAATGTGAGTTAATGTGTTCATTGATAAACTCCTAAATATTTGCTGGCAGCTTCTGAAGTGCCACTGTCATGAAGCTCATAGCCTAGCAGAAGACAGATGTTGATGAAATAATCACATAAATTAATGTAAAATTGCTACTCTGTAGGGTCCCAGCAAAAAACAGAATTCATCCTGGTTCAAATGAAAAGCTTAAGGAAATGCCAACTTAGAATGATGGAGGCTGGATTATCAGAATCAGTGACAGGCATTGCAGGACGAGTTGTTCCCAACCCAGGTCTAAGAAACAAGAGGCAGGGTGATGTTACCAGGATCCATAGATGCTGGAGCCAGGAGGGAGGAGCTTGAACGTGCCACAGCAACAAGGATGGACATACCCTGGATCTTTTTGTCTTGCTTTGCTTCTGCCATTACTTTCCACCAGCAGAGCCCAACAGAAGCCAGGTGGACAGGGAGTCCTAGTGATGTGGTCCCCAGAGATGGAGGTGGGAGCCAACTGAAAATGACAAGCACTAATGACAACATAAGGAGAGAAACATGGTGTTCGTTACCTCCAGCCAGGGATAGGCATGGCAGTGGGATTACAGTCAAGAGTTCTTCAAGTGACATTTGAGCTGAGAACTGGGTGAAGAAAAAGATGGGCTCTGAGGAGAGGAGAAAGGAGCAAGTGTTGAATATCAGCTGTGGGGGATTTTCTGAAAGATCTCAGGACTTTTCTACAACGAGCATTAGCTGAATCAGTCAGCAAGTGAATGGTGACAGATAAGTGGGAAACCTGTCCACTGTGAACTGGCTGGGAGTACCCCATGTGTGGTCATCATGGTGCTTGGCAAGGTGTTAACATAGAAAGCTGTATAAAATCATGGGCCAAAGTGAGGAGACTTGTCAGTTAAAAGAAGAAAGCTATTCTGTTCTCGATTCAAGACAATCTTGCATGCTGATACAAAGAAGTTTCCTATTGCATAGGTTTTGATTTATTTAACCTTTTAATGTGAGACTTCATACACATACAGAAAAGCATATTGAACGAAATAGGTGCAGAATGCAATGATTTATCACAAAGTGAACACTTTGCAACCAATACCAGGATAAAAAATAGAATATTACTAATGCCTGAAGCCTTCCAGACTCCCAGACAATCACCACTCCTACCCATCCCAAAGATAAAAACTATCTTGATGTTTTTTGGTAAACATATTCTTGTTTTTCTTATATTTTTTCCCACAAAGAACATGTTTCAAAACACAATATTTTGGTTTTGTCTGTTTTTGTTTTGTTTCATTTGTGGTTTTGTTTGTTGTTTGTTTTTTCAGAAAGGAATGAAATAGAACCATAGAGTATGTCTGGATTCTTTTGTTCAGGATTATTTTGTGATATTCATAAGTGTTGTTGTTACTTGTGATTCTAGTTCGTTTATTTTTCTAAACTGTCACAGAAATATACTATGGTTTATTTATCTACTGGTTACTCTCTGTTTTGTTGGTGAACCTTTGGATTGTTGATTCGGGGCCTTATGGAAAATGTGACTGTGGCCATCGTTGTAGGTATTTCTTGGTGCCTGTGGCCATTACAGTACTACTTGGCCCATATCCAGGAGAGGAAGTGCTAGCTTATTGTCAGCTGTAGACAATCCCAAACTGTTTCCTAAGTAGCTGTACCAATACATCCCACTCGCATGTGGGTGAGTCCCTTGCCCCATATCCTTGTCAGCATGTTAGCCATGATTCTGGTTGCACAAGTGGGGTTAATTTCTTTTGTCCTGACTAATGAAGTTGAGTACCTTCTTATGTGTTTAGTGACCATTTGAAATATTTTGTGACAGGGCTGTTCAAGTTTTTTGTGGACTATGTCATTCTTAACTTTTTCTTATTGGTTTGTAGGATTATTCTGGCTATGAGTCCAGTGTTGGTTAAATGTGTGATAGAGCCTTCATTTTCTTGCTTGCCTGTTCAGTCCCATAAAGAGAACAGAGGTTTTTATTTTAACATTTAAATTCTTTAATGATTCCGTTTCCCTTATGTTAGTGTTTTATTGTGTCCTATTCAGTAAGTCTTTCTCAGCTATAAGATTATAAAGATGTTATATATCATCTCCTAGAAACTTTATAGTTTTAACTGTCAAATTTATAATTTTGTATGTTGTGTGAGGTCGGGGCAAAATTTTATTTAAAATATGTTTTGAGGACATTCATTTAACAGTATAATTTGTTAGGAAGAACATTTTGTCTGTACTTCTCTGAAGGGCTATCTTTATCATAAATCAAGTGCCCAAATGTGTGTGACCTGATTTGGACTCTTGTCTGTTCTTTTTATTAGTGTATAGTCTTGTTCCAATGTCACACTGTAGCTTTACAATCTAGCTTTAGCAGATTGAGTTTTCTTATCTTGTTCTTAAGAGTCTCTTAGCTAGTCTTTGACTTTTATATTGATACAATATTTAGAATCAGCTTACTAGGTTATTTAAACAAAGCAACAGCAGCATCAAAGATTTTAAAACTGTTGAAATTTTGACTGCGATTACATGGAATCTATAATTTTGGAAAAATGATTGTCTTAACAATTTAAAGTCTGCATGTTCCTCTTTGGGTTTTATAAAATTTCTTTGACTGATGTCATAGTTTTCTATATAAAGGTTTCACACATCTTATTAAATTTAATCCTAGGTGTTTTAATATTTTTTCATCTTGTTGGATATTATTTTGTCATAAATTCATTTTTGTCACTCTTTTTTACTGGGGTGTAGAATATACAGTAACTTTTTTTTTCTTGACCTTGTACCCAAAATGTAGCTAACTTAAGAAACAAATTCCAGTAATTCCTCTGTAGATTCTTTTGTGTATACTTTTTCTAGTATACAACCACATCATTTGATAATATTGACAGTTTTTTTTCTAATCTTTGTGTGTTTTAAACATTTTCTTTTCTTTTCTTCACCTGCTAGGACCTCATATACAGTTGCAGGTAATATGGTAATTGTAGATATCCTTGTCCCCTCTCCAGGGCTCAAAAGAAAGACTTCAACATTTGTTCATTATTGAGTATGATGTTTTTGTAGTTTTTTTTTTTTTTATTTTAAGAAGTTATTATTCATAGTTTGCAAAGAGTTTTTGATAATAGGGATGCTGAGATTTTCAAATGCTTTTCTATGCCTGTTGAGGTGTGATTTTTCTCTTTTATTCATGTGTTGACATTTTTTTTTTTTTTCGGTGGGCCTGGGGTTTGAACTCAGGGCTTTGCACTTGCAAAGCAGATATTGTACTGCTTGGGCCACACCTCCAGTCCCATGTGGTGACTTTTATTAACTGATTTTCAGGTGTTTAGCCAAACTTGCAGGTATAA